CTCCGTCTCCTGGAGAGTGTTGCAAAGCAATTGCCCGGCAGGACAACAGAGGGCGTAGCACTGTTCTGTGGTATCCTGTCATGTATCGGTCCAAGATCGTGTGTTTATATTGTGTTTTTTGTGTATATAAGAGACTTTTAACACGGACATATTTGTCTCTCATTCTCCCACCGCTTCATGCGCTCCCCGCCTCTAAACCCACGTTTCCTGTCATTTCTGTCCACAAATAAAACTCTTGCGGCGCATCTTTTCACTCCTCCAGTCACGGGAGGATAAAACGTTCATATTTTTAGAGTTTTTTCGCGAGGTATTCTTCAAGCTGCTCCCTGTCTGCCGCTAGTTTTCCTCGGCTCTCTTTGCAATGGCGGCGCTGTAAACAACAGCGGCGTCCTGACCAATCACAAGCTTGCGTAATCTGTCTCGTTCGACGGATGTTTAAAAAAGTGGGCTCGACTCCGTACGTACTTGCGTGCCTGCAGGAGCCCTACGCAAGGACGGATAATGGCGTTGCGTGTCTCCGCACTGACGCAGACAGAGAAGCATAAATCAGGCTTTACACTGAGGAGAGGCTTCCAACGGGCCACTCTGCCATAGAGCCCTGACTGGTGGAGGGCTGCAGTGATGGTTGACTTTCTACAACTATCTCCACCTCCTGACTGCATCTCTGGAGCTCAGCCACAGTGATCTCTGAGTTCTTCTTTATCTCTCACCAAGGCTCTTGTCCCCATTGCTCAGTTTGGCCAGACGGCCTGCTCTAGGATGGTTTCTGTTGTCCAAAACATTTTCCATTTAAGGATTATGGAGGCCACTGTGCTCTTAGGAACCTTAAGTGCAGCAGAGGTTTTATGTAACCTTGGCCAGAACTGTGCCTTACCACAATTCTGTCTCTGGGCTCTTCAGGCAGTTCCTTTGACCTCATGATTCTCACTTGCTCTGACATCAGTGTTTCCCTTACATAGGCGTAGCCACTGAAATCCCAACGCCACGCCTACAAGATCCCAAGTTTAATTGATTTTTTTTTTTGCGATGTTTCCCGAAGGTGCAGCGGAAACTACTCTGTTGTTGCTTGTGATCACAGCTGGCAGACAGCAAGGAGGAGGAGGCAGGGCAGGGTGGTTACAGCTAGGGATGAGCCGGATACTCATTTCAGACTAGTATCTGGTATGGATAAAGCATATTTGACGAATACGAGCATGAAACGAGTAAAACTCATACATATCTGTAATGGTGCTGAAGGAAAATCCTTGTTGGGTAACTGACTGTCTTCATGCTCTGTGATTGGCCAGTCACATAGAGAGCCCGCCCCTCCCTACACACAAAACTGCAGCCGGGAGCTCAGTCCGTCCGGCCCATCCACGCACACACACACACAGTAACGGATCTCTCTGTGCTTGCTTCACTGTTGCTCACGTTTCTTCAGTCCTCCCTAGGTTTTCTTCAGCTCGCCTCTTTTTCGCTTGAATATTTAAAGTTACTTTTTTCGTAACGTACGTGGTGCATTTGACAAGACTGAGCAGAAAATGGCTCGTGCATGCGTCGGTCACTGCCTCCGCACCGGTCGGGGTTGTTTTTTTTATTATTTTAACTCTCGCTCGCGCGCACGCACGCACACACACACACACACACACCTCAATCAACATTGTTTTGTTCAACTGTGTGTGGGAAAAATGCCAACAACGTTAGGAAAAAATCAGTTTAATTAAATTAAAATAAAATGGTTCTAGTATTTCATATTTCCTAGTTCCTACTGCATGAGTTCCGATGCATTAATTCATGCACTTAAATATAATGTTCTGATTTTACTGAAAAACTTGTTCTATAATAGTTGTGATCAAAAATATTTAATCTCAATTCTGAGGCTGCTCTGTAAATAGTTCTCAAATAAACAATACACAAAGCAACTTCTGATCAATCCATATCAATTTCAGATTTAAAATAATGTACTGATGTAAACCACACCCACTAATTTCCAAATAATAAATAAGAGGTGCATTCATCTGTGTATCTCCTTTGATCCGCATTAAGTGATGTTTTCAGCACCAGAACAATGAAGCAAAGAAACAGATTCCTGAGTTTATGTTAGTAATTTTATTTATTAGGTGCATCTGACCTGTTCTATTTTTCTCTGAAATGAGATCAAATCAGTGCTTCTATGGGTTGTCTCTTCTCTGCACTAGAAAATTTTACTTTATTATAATGTTCACTGTAATGCATCTTGATGTTCTTAACAAATAAATTAAATCAAAGATATTGGTCAATAATGCAAAATATGTACATTTGTGTTTCAGTCATTTTTGTACTGGCTTAAAAATACTTCATTAAGTATACTAAGCAGGGGTGTTGAACGTTTTTAATAGGGCCAGCCCAGTAATGATCTTGGACCAAAATAAAGGGAGCAGAAAATCAAATAAAGGGGGGCAGAAGGAGATGTTTTTCCAGACGCCAAGAAAAATTAAATGCCAGTTAGGATCACAAAAGCAGGAGATGGTCAGACTGGAAAAACATCCCCAGAAGATTTCAGTCAAACATGACTAGACAGAGAAACAGAAAGAAGAAAGTAGAAGGTTGTAACTGATTTCCTCATGATGTAATTTTGTACGAATTTCGGTGACAGGATTGCGTGCATTCATAAGTTATGCAAACTCCTAAATCAGTGTGTGTTTATAGCAAAGAGAAAAATCCAGTTTGTTTGCAGCATTACCCATGCTAACTGTAAAAACAGGGCTGAGTCCTTTGAGCTAAAATTTAAAAGTGATTCATCTCAAAACATCAACAACTTCAGAACATTCTCTGAGAACATTTTAATACCTAAAAGTAAAAGTTTTCACCCACATGATGACCAATCTGTTGCTCTGAAATGGGATTTTCCAACAAAAATACACTTAACTTGCTCATTCATCTAAAAAAAATAGTATTCGGAAAAATATTATTCAAAATAGGTATTATAAATAAAACCTAACGTCATCTACTAGACATATTGGCAGCGTCACCTGGAACACCACATCAACCAGACAAATTAGCCTCTGAGGCAGAAATTCAGGCAGCTTGTTTCACTTTGATCTGATGACAAATCGAGACAAAAACACTTTCCTTTTTAATACTCCTCGTCCTGAATGAACAAGTCACACACACACACACACACACACACACACACACACACACAAACACACAAACACACAAACACACACACACACACACACACACACACACACACACACACACACACACACACACACCAAAACTCACTCCTAAAAAATGCACCTAAATCATGCACGCCTTGCACGGAGACTATTTTATGCAGCTAACTAAACTGTTTGCCTTTTGCATGACTCAACAAATCTTTTCCAGGACATTAACAGCAACTTTAGCCAAGTGGGGGCACACGGGTGCCTTTCAAAGAAAAAAGGTGAAATCTGATCAGTTCAGCTCATGTTGTCTTTTATTTTGACTTATTATGCGTTTTTGAGAATTTCTCACTGATAATAAAAGATCATTTTTATCAGGTGTCTTGTTACCATTAGTATAAAGGCAAATCGGCAACTAAAAATATCCTGGTCAGGAATTGGACAAATGAAACTGTAAGATAACCCATTTGTCATTGGGTAACATTTGCCGTTTGCTGACTAAAGAACTGTGTTCTGTAGGTTTTAAACCTGATATAGATCATTTAATTTAAAGGGGTCACCCAAATATGTTATCTTATTAGAATAGTTAGCATGACTAAATAGATGTCCAAGTTATAAATATAATAGGGCCTTATCTGTATTATGTAGGATATTTTCTATGATGTCATTTATAGGCATATTTAAGTAAAAATGCACATTTGTCTTATTAAACGTGATTAGGAAGAAAATAATTCTGAAGTACTAGAATGGAGTTCCTTATTACTAGATAGTTAACAGTATGGTTCATAACGTCACTGGCATTCCCAAATGGTGAAAACGAAAGAAAAAGTAGCTATTTCAAAGAAATGCAACACACTGCAAAATCAGGTGAAACCACTAAATAATAAAGCATGGATAAAACTTACCAAATAGCTTTAAACAGTTTGTAAACTTTAAATACTCAATATAATAATGAATGACGTAAAGTCAAACAAACAATAAATCTATTTTTAAATATGAAACTGCACACTTGCATACTTTTATTGGGTTAAATCGAGCTTCACTTAATTTAATCTTTATTTGATTATATCGTATTTTTGTCTACATGAACAAACTGATAGAAAGACTGTAACGATGGTATACTTTCAACGTATTTGTGCCAACATCAGCATCCCTAAACGCTCTCACATGACTGCATGGTAACCACTCGCTACGTGCGATAAATCATTTCTCCATTTGGTCTTTGTTTACATGGAAACGCTGTTAGCGTTTATTAGCATATGTACGTCATTTTAGCCTTTTGCTGTAAAGCTCCAAAGCCTCAAGCCGACCGCTGAACATAAATAAAACGGTTTTAAATGCGGCGGTAATTAAACGCACGAACGCTGAAAGCTTTAACGGGATAACCCCTCCTTCCTATAACTTTCAGTTTTGTTTCCTCGCAGGTCCATGCTGCGGGCTTATCTTTGACCTAGCTAGCGAGGCTGATGAGACTTTGCCCATGTGCACCCCACTGGGTCATTGATACAACACTGGCTAGCTAATGGCTAATATTAGCTTTTTAAAATATATCAATCCCTTCCGTCTCCAAACGTTTGTTTTAGCTAGCTTGCTAATACGGTTAGCTTGAAATACCACCATGGATATGAATGCTGGTGGCGGACTAGCTTGTCCCCGGGCAAAGACCGCTGCCTAACGAAGAGATGCTCGTTAAGATAATTTGGTACTCCCCGTCTTTGCTGTACCCTCCTCCTCTGCCGCATTCGGCCTGTGGTGAACCCTCGGACACCGGCCACACAGAACAGCGTGATGGCCTTGGGACTGATGATGAAACCACCTTGACTTAATCATTTAAAACACCTCTCCCTCGGTTCGAACTCACAACAGATACGGTACCTTGTATGAATCGGTCGCTAACAGTATGTTGAAGTCAGCGTCTCTGTGCTCCATCTTTCCTCCTCTCGGTTGTGGCTGAGTCTCAGCTGTCAGTGTGTTGTGTTGCGCGCCGTGGTGCCCGAAGCTCCAGCCTGATAGTGAGGGGGAAGGACAAGCGGACAGAACCGGGCGGGGGAAGGGGCGGGCCCTCGGTGATGTTCGGAATCCCTCGGACATAGCCCAAGATCGTATACACATAGGAAGATAGATCACTCAACACTGAAACCGGTTCCACCATCTTCTGCGACTCGAGAGGGCGCTGTTTCTGACTACAACCTGTATGAACGTAGTGATTCGATAATTCAGCCCTGGAATATCTCCGGCCGCCCGAGGGGGGATGGGGGTTTGGAAAACTCTTCTGAATGCAGCAGGATGGCCGCTTGAAGCTGATATAAAATAGTGGGCTGATCATCAGCTCTGCAGAGCGTGCTGCAGATATTAAGAGGCTGGCTTCCTCCATCAGAGAGGTTTTCTCTTGTTGATGATGCATGGTTACCATCCATTTGGCCATAAATGAACCTGTCACAAATTAGGGCATGTCATCCCTTTCTGCTGTCGGAGAAATCTAATGAAGTTCTCAGAACGGAGTGATGCCGGACTTTGCTGCAATATACTTGATCCTATGTGATGGAGGATCTCTGAGTATGCTCTAAGGTAGGCATATGCTGTAATACGCTTATGCCCATCTAACAGCACACATACATGGCCAGATCTTTTTTTTAGGCTGTACACTTTGATGGGTCGTCAAATCATCATAAACTTTGTTTAGAACAACCATATGATACACCGATGATGGTTTTAATAGACAGTGAAAAGAGTTTATTAAAAATGATTCGTTTAAATCTTGAAGTGTCCTTCATCTTGCGGATGGAACAGCAGTCAGATTAAAGATGGTTTACAGCAGACTTTGCGTCTCCTGTGATGGATAATCTGTAGATAGACGTACAGCCAGGACAGCTTGACCCAGCTGAGGAAGTGTGACCTTTGGGTCACAAATGAGGCCATTCATGTCGCTACAAAGCCTTTCCAATGTTAATGAGCTGTTCCAGATTGTAAACCAGCTTGTTGCCATGGTTACGCATCATAACAAATGCTCAAAAAGTGAAAAAAGCAAAAAAATTGCACTAAAAATCCTCCAAGCTTCACAGCACCAGAAACAGAAAGGTAAAATGTCCAAAAAACACAGTTTTTCCTGAGAAACTAGAAGAAAAAATGTCCAAGAAAAGACAAAACTTACATATCGTCAACAGAGCTACTCCAACATGCAGCCACCCAGAGCAGCGCAGTTCCGGAAAGTTTCTGCTGAAACTCTAATTTCTGGTTCTCCAGATGAATGTTTTCAGCTTTTAAACGTTTCTTCTCATCGTATAGAGTCTGTCGTTTCTCCGCTATGTCCTGTTCAAATTTTTCTGTAGAGTTTAAAAACTCTAATTTCTGGTTCTCCAGAGAAATCGTTTCAGCTTTTAAACGTTTCTTGTCATCATATAGATTCAGTCGTGTCTCTGCTCTCTCCTTTTCAAATTGTTCTTCAGACTTTTTAATCTCTAATTTCTGGTTTTCCAGGTGAATGTGTCATATTCTGTGTCCCCTTGGTCCCCAGCCCCCTCCTCTTCTCCCTCAGGTTCTCCTCATGTGTCTTCTTGTGTTCCCCAGCTCTCTCTAGGCTTTCCTCATGTTTTCCTCCTAGTCACTCCCTTGTAATTCCCATTTGTTTGCATTAGTCCTCCTCACCCCTCTAGTCATAACCGAGCAGCCTATTTGCCTGCACTTTTGAAGCTGACGGGGGTCAGCTTCACAGAGCTCCCACAGCTGAAGGAGGGAAAGAGGAGGTAAACAGCGAGTGGATCACAGGGACTGAACTGATGTTTTTGAGCAAAACTGCGGTAAAAATGGCTGTTTGTCCTCATTATCAAAAGTGATACCCCCCCCCCCCCCCCCACTGTTTAAATGCGGTGCTCATGCAGGTGTCTCTTTCTGTTCCGATGCTGCTACATGTAATATTTTTAATTTATTAAGCCTACAATTTATTTTTACTCAGTAACGGGTATGATTTAAAATGTAGCGAATTACAATTCTTTTTCAAAAACGTACTCAAGTAAAAGTAAAAGTACAGATTTAAAAAACAACTTAAAAAGTATAAATAAACTAAAAAAAAAGCTACTCAATTACAGTAACGTGAGTAAATGTTATTTGTTACTTTCCACCTCTGGTGGCTTCAGTTGAGGTAATATTTCAGCCTTTCCCATGTTAATCAGCTGCTCCTGATTGGAAACCAGCTTGTTGCTATGGTTACGCATCATAACAAATGCTCAAAAATTGAAAAAAGCAAAGAAATTGCAGAAAAAATCCTCCAAGCTTCACAGCACCAGAAACAGAAAAGTAAAATGTCCAAAAAAATACAGTTTTTCTTGAGAAACTAGAAGAAAAAATGTCCAAGAAAAGACAAAACTTACATATCGTCAACAGAGCTACTCCAACATGCAGCCACCCAGAGCAGCGCAGTTCTGGAAAGTTCCATCATCATGCCGCTGGGTTGATCTCCAATGCCACCTACCTATGCTGACATGGCCTATTCTCAGGTGTCAGGTAACACCAGGGCTGACTCTACCCAATTTGGTGCCCCAGGCTTGATTAATCCTTGGCGCTCCCTGTCCTTGCCACATGCTCCAATGATCAGAATGATCAGACATTTTAAACTCATTTAAATTCTTTTAGACTTTCATTGAAATCACTTTTAGCTTCTTCTACTGCTTTAATAAACTCCCTTTTCTCTTCCTGCAGATTCTCTCTGAGAAGTTCAATATTTAATTCCTCTTTGAGCAGAAATTGTCTATCTGTAACCTCATGCTGTAATTCTATCTTTTTCTGCTCAAACTCTGATTTCTGGTTCTCCAGATGAATGTTTTCAGCTTTTAAACGTTTCTTGTCATCATATAGAGTCTGTCGTTTCTCCGCTATGTCCGGTTCAAATTTTTCTGTAGAGTTTAAAAACTCTAATTTCTGGTTCTCCAGAGAAATCGTTTCAGCTTTTAAACATTTCTTGTCATCATATAGAGTCAGTCGTATCTCTGCTCTCTCCTTTTCAAATTGTTCTTCAGACTTTTTAATCTCTAATTTCTGGTTTTCCAGGTGAATGTGTCATGTTCTGTGTACCTTGGTCCCCAGCCCCCTCCTGTTCTCCCTCAGGTTCTCCTCATGTGTCTTCTTGTGTTCCCCAGCTCCCTCTAGGCTTTCCTCATGTTTTCCTCCTAGTCACTCCCTTGTAATTCCCATTTGTTTGCATTAGTCATCCTCACCCCTCTAGTCATAACCGAGCAGCCTATTTGCCTGCACTTTTGAAGCTGACGGGGGTCAGCTTCACAGAGCTCCCACAGCTGAGAAGGGAAAGAGGAGGTAAACAGCGAGTGGATCACAGGGACTGAACTGATGTTTTTGAGCAAAACTGCGGTAAAAATGGCTGCTTGTCCTCATTATCAAAAGTGTACCCCCCCCTGTTTAGATGCGGTGCTCATGCATTTGTCTCTTGCTGTTCCGATGCTACTACATGTAATATTTTTAATTTATTAAGCCTATAATTTATTTTTACTCAGTAACGGATATGATTTAAAATGTAGCGAATTTCAATTCTGTTTTAACAACGTACTCAAGTAAAAGTAAAAGTACAGATTTTAAAAACGACTTAAAAAGTATAAATAAACAAAAAAAGCTACTCAATTACAGTAACGTGAGTAAATGTAATTCGCTACTTTCCACCTCTGGTGGCTTCAGTTGAGGTATTTGTTGGTTAATTTTATCAACCCAGGATTACCTTAGGGAAAGTTCAAAGCACAGCGGGTTATCGTAATCAATCGATCACCACCAATACCAATAATCAACAATCAATGTAGACTTGGCAAAGTGGAAAGGAAGAATACACACCAGTCAAAGGGTTGCAGTTCACTCTCATCAGACAGAGTCCTCCAAAAGTATTTATTAATCACACACACAAAAGATTGACGCACACACATTTTGACATTCCTTACTCTCAGGCGGAAAGCCGTAAAAAGGGAGACTAAGCTTTCTCCAGGTGCACTAAATCAACAAAGCAGTTCCTGGACTTTCTCAAGGGAATTTTACTGATGAAGGTGGTTTCAAGGCTAGGTCATCCTCCTAAAACCCAGTCCTCCCTGTAAGACCTGCAGGAGCCTGTCTATTAACAGAGTAAAATAAATGGATGAAGCTACGTTTAAACAGACACCAGATGTTTAACAGTCAAAACATTAATTCAATAATGATAATACCAGTTTTTAGCTAACACAAGACACCTCCCGTGTATCCTTGTTCAGCTAGCTAAACAGCTAACAAACGGAGAACAGATGTCTCGTTTATTTTTGTCGTCGTCGTCTTCCTCCGCTTATCCGGGTCCGGGTCGCGGGGGCAGCATCCCAACTAGGGAGCTCCAGACCGTCCTCTTCCCGGCCTTCTCCACCAGCTCCTCCGTCAGGACCCCAAGGCGTTCCTGGACCAGATTGGAGATGTAACCTCTCCAACGTGTCCTGGGTCGACCCGGGGGCCTCCTGTCGGCAGGACATGCCCGAAACACCTCCCCAGGGAGGCGTCCAGGAGGCATCCTGACCAGATGCCCAAACCACCTCAACTGACTCCTTTCGATCCGGAGGAGCAGCGGTTCTACTCCGAGTCCCTCCCGAATGTCCGAGCTCCTCACCCTATCTCTAAGGCTGAGCCCGGCCACCCTACGGAGGAAACTCATTTCGGCCGCTTGTATCTGCGATCTCGTTCTTTCGGTCATTACCCAAAACTCATGACCATAGGTGAGGATTGGGACGTAGATCGACCGGTAAATCGAGAGCCTGGCTTTCTGGCTCAGCTCCCTCTTCACCACGACAGATCAGCTCAGCGTCCGCATCACTGCAGACGCCGAACCAATCTATCTGTTGATCTCCCGATCCCTCCTACCCTCACTCGTGAACAAGACCCCGAGATACTTAAACTCCTCCACTTGAGGCAGGACCTCTCTCCCGACCCGGAGTTGGCAAGCCACCCTTTTCCGGTCGAGAACCAAGGTCTCAGATTTGGAGGTGCTGATCCTCATCCCAGCCGCTTTACACTCGGCCGTGAACCTACCCAGCAAGAGCTGAAGGTCAGAGCTGGATGAAGCTAGGAGGACCACATCATCCGCAAAAAGCAGAGAT